AAGTTTCCATGACGAAGCCACCGTGGTGATTGACAGCGATTCCCGAAAATATTTTGTAAGGTAACGAATGATCCAAAGAAAATGTTGAACTAGAAATACGTTAGGGATGTCGTCAAACCAGATCTTTTTTTTTTCATCGGATTGTAGAACCAGGTTTAGCACACCACGATCATATATGACTAAACACTCGGTTGGTGAATTTAAATTCTTAGTGGAGGAAAAGTTACGAAATTATCGACAGTAAACACTGAATGTAAGTATATATTGAACGCATTGGCAACGATTAATGGGTCGCTATCGGCTTCGTCCGTAATGGCCATTGTGCACGTGCCCGTTGTCACAAGAGCTCGTCTAGCGCAGCTCCAAACGTTCACAGAACGACGCTCCTGGGCTTAATGGAAAACGAAGGTCACTGCTTGTGACTGCTGCGAGCGCATTACCATGCCGCCTTTCCTTTTTACGCTACAAAATCAGTATGGGGCTTTTTGATCGCACCTGGTAGACCCGGCAAGAACTACAATACAAGTTGCGCGCTTCTGAATAAAAAAACTTCGTCCATCTTGTTGCTTAGAATTATCGTTGCTAGTTTTATCGAAAATCGCAGGAAATGCATTTTCGCCCTCTATAAATGCTAAAACAGGCCTAGAGAATGCCAGAGAGCACAATCCAAGTAAAGGGGGCAACCCGGCACTTCTCAATTACCAGAACAGTCTTCTTCCTGCTCGTTCGGGTGAAGTTTAGTCAGCCATATGGTTTATGTTCGCGACACCGTTTGTAACGTCAAGAAAGAAGCAAAGCGGGGAGCCTTGCACAGAACTCTTCGCCCCCGGGGTGTTTCCTTGAGCGTTAGATTCGGATTGACGTCACTAACGTCGCTCGTTGGGTTTCTCACGAGATTTCGCCACGGGGAAGGTTTCAAGTCGGCGACTACAGACCGCGACAGAGTGCAGCTTTTCTCTGAAGATAAGTGGTCAGCGAGATCTCAGTAGAAATTGTGTCGCTGTTTTTGTGTCGCTGTCTTTGCGCTAACGCTGTTAGCGCAAAGACGACATCAGCAGTATTGTTATAGAAATTATTTTAAGAGGTTATTATAAGGTACCAAATTGTACCGCTTTGGCTAGTGTTCGAAGTAGGCACTTTCCACCGCTATGATAGTTTTGAGAACAGCCCCTATAGATTTCAGGAGAAAAAGAAAAAGAACCTGAAATCGCTTGTTTGTGCTAAGAGTGACGTGCAGTGTACGCTCAGTTCTGAACGTGCTACAGAAAGAAAGCAAGGAAACAATTACAATTACTTCATATAAAAGAAAAAACGGTTTGTCGCTGCTTGGTTTAAACTTAGTCCAAGCGTAATCAGTGTTGTAGGCGTTACGGAAAAAGAAGTAACGAAAAAACCGTACTCGTTACTTGTAAATATCAGGAACGCGTTTCCGTTTTACGTTGCATCAAAATAAAAGGAACGCGTTATCGTTGCCTTTACTGATAAAAAGTGGAGTTACTTTTGCGTTACTCTTTTAACTATGAAACAACACGTTTCACTGTTTTGACGTTACAGGTACGCATAAGCGCCATATTTCAAGAAACTTTATGTCCATGCTGAAACGGAACATATATTTACATTTTTTTACGGTTTTATTTAAATACTTACGAGGAAAAACAACCGTTGTAAAAACGAAAAAAGGAAAACAAGCACAAAAATTATATGACTTGGCGCCTATAATACATAAAAAAATGAAGTGTAATTTTATTAAGCCTTAAGAGTAATACGTAACGAGTAACGTAACTACCTCACCCGCTACTCGAAATAAGTAACGCAAGTGCGTTACCCGTTCCTGTTTTTAAAATGTAAGGAGTCCCATTAGGAGTTACCGGAAAAAGTAACGCGTTACCGGTTACGCCGTTACTTGTAACGCGTTACCGCCGACACTGAGCGTAACCGATGCTACGATTCCATGGATCCAGTCAAGCAGCGCCAAACGTCGGATATAACAGTCGTGCTTGTCGTCCTTCGGCTCTTGCTATGTAGAGAGCAAGTCGTCTGCTTCTTGCGCCGGAGCAACATTACTAGATTACCTCAGTTGTGGAACTCCCACGAAAGAGGGTACCCCCCCCCCCCCCCCCCCTCACTCACTTCAGTCCGCCACCTGTCGTTTGAAGCGCCATCTAGACTACCGTTTCAAAATTGAGTGTTCCATAGAGTACGGTTGGGACGCCATCTAGACGCCGTGATCCGAAATTTAAGTATTCAGTAGAATACAGTATTGTTACCATAGCAGCCGTCGGTAGCGTCGAACGACGGGAGGCGAGTCGTGGTAAGATGGGGGTACTGCTGGTGCAAGCAGCGTCTATGAGCTGTTCCGTAACTGAGCTAATCGAATAACGTTGCGCAAGAGTTGCGGTGACGTCAGAAGCACGCCGAGCTCTGATCGGCTCTGATTGAAAAACAGTGGGTAGACCTCAAAGCAGACTGCTTTGAGGTCTACCCACTCTCGTTCATTCAGAACCAAACACAGCTTGGCGTTCTGAGGTCACCACAACCCCTGCAGAAGAAGCAGACGATCTAGCGCTTCGCATAGCCGGCTAAACCAGCCACGCGTAGTGAGCGCGGCGTGATTTCGCGCTTAGTACTTTGGGTGAATGATTTAACCAGTGACAGCAATTAAGTATAATACAGTTACTCGTTTGGGCGCTCAAGCTCTAAAGAAAAGTGATAAATAATTTAAACGAAACTACTTGCAAACGCTGTTGAGCACTGCTAACGCAACTGCTCGCAAAGCTTACCTTACACAAGAACCCACTTGCGAAGGGGGAGATTTCGCCGAGAAAGGAGCGTGTTTGCTCACGTAGCAATGGGGAAATGAACCGCACATAGTTTAAATGTTGGGTTCTTAGGACATGTACTTGGAGCGAGCAGATTAAGTTTTTGCCGTCAAGAAGACGAATTCACAGGTCTCTACTGCCGCCTCAAGGTACATTTATCTTTTTAAAGACATTAAACCAGGCGGTCGTCTTCAGTAGCAAAGTAATCCAGCCTAATCTCCTCAGAGAATAGGCCGAAAATGCGCAGGATTATGATCCTCTATATGTCAGGGAGCTCCCTAGAAAAGCTGCTTCAATTACACTCAAGGCTGTTGAACCATCAGAATAACAACGTTGAGAAGCACCATAAGTACATTGTGTTTAACGTACTAGTTCATGTTGGTTAAGAAAACTTGTACTTTACTTGAAGTACAGTGCTCAACGAAACCAAATGGGCCAGCGGAGCGCGTGGCGTCGCTTGAGTAACTACGTACGTTCAGCTTTAGGATCATATAGAGTCATTCTAGCGTAGAAGGCTAGCATAAACAGTTACGGTATTCGGCTCTAAAGTAATCATATGGCTCCGCCATTTAGTTACTCTAGGAATGTCTGGTGTAACCCTGTATTCGAGAGGTCACACGCTCTGCTGGCCCATTTCGTTTCGTTGAGCACTGTACGATCTCCGAGTATGTGCAGTCTCCTAAATATGAAAGACCCACTAGGAGTGCGTGGCCAAGACGGCAGTGGGCGAGGGCGCTCCGGGCTCTTCATGCGATTTCTTTCTGCCTCGAGGCGAGGACACTCACTCAATGCTCAACCGGGGTTGAACACGCTTAACAGCTCTTAGTTTCATTTTAGCGGGAGAGTACTCTTCATCGGACCCAGAGATATAGTCACGTAGGCTGGACGCTTGTCATCGCTGTTTTTTTTTCAGTTGTTTCTGCTGTAAAATGTTGGAACAGGCACTGCAAAATAAATAAGTTGTACTTGAGTCCTATACTTAAAAGATAAAATTCGTTGAAGAACGCATTCATTGGTTAGAAAGATGGCAGGGGTCTGAAACTTTAACAGAGTCAGAATGAGATAGCTGTGGCATGACGCTGACAAAGTGCTCTACGGCGCAACAGAAATTGACAAGCGCGTGTCGCGCTTTAGCCAAGCCCCGAGTGAGTCCTCCCCTCGGAGTAGAATGGAATCGCCGGGAGCGCGCACAGTGCCCCCGCCAGCCGCCGTCTCGGCTACGCGCTCCCAGTCGGTCTTTCATTATGCAGGAGACCGTACTTGTACTTTATTTAAATTATTTTTTCGTGTACTTTCGGAGAAAAGTACAACTCCCGACTTCAAAATACATTCTGCAAATTCGCTCGTGTTAAACTTGATTCGAAAAATTATCCTTTGTCATCTCTAAAGAAATGCTGCGATAAAAAATTCTACTCTCACCAGGCTTTCCCGTAGCTTTTTAAACTCTTGCTACTTCTCGCTCTGACAGCGCCTGCGAGGAGGTTAAAAATATCAGGAGAGGACAATTAATCACAATGTGACACCTGAGACTGTGGTGCGGAAATATTAGGAATCATTCAAGTCGAAGAAAAATGATAGAAGAGAACGTCTTCACGTTTTGAGACGTTCTCCTTTGTCGCCTTTTCCTTCGTGTTGAAAGTTCCTTAACTCTTCCGCACCACAATCTCAAGTGTCACATTGTGAGTAATTATCACCAGCTCGCCCACACACTGCCTTTTCGTTAGGGAGAGGACAGTATTCTACGAAAGGATTGCTTGCAGAGGCTATCGGGCTGACGTCATGTTCTTTCCAAATATTAACCCCCTTGGGTGCAACAAGCCAGTGCAAGCGGCGCCAAATTCACTAGTCAGAGGGACTTCTGAATGTGGCGCCATTTCCGGACAATAACTACTTTGTGGCCACTTGACTTAATCCAATATTCGCCATCATTTCTGAAATTAAGTGATGCACTCCTGGTATACCTCTGGGGCAATGCGTACCAGTATATAAGCGAATGACAGGGCATCATGAAAGACTGTTAAAAAGTACTTGTACTTTACATTAAAAATATATTGCCCCAGTGTATTTACAACTACACTTGACCAACATCACCTCTTTTTTACTTTTTACTTCACTTAAAGTACTATTTAGATGTAGTTTAAACAACATTGCGAAAGATACTACATTAATTAAGGCTGTCAATCTCTCCAAAACCATAATTTATTGTCTCTTCCTCTACACTTGCTGTTCTGCAGAATTGAAGCATATGTTACAGTGAAAAGTGCATGTGGTGAAACTGAATACAGAGAAAGCACTATTCCCGCAGTACTTCATTTAAAGTAGAATATTTATTGCACTTTCTTGTATTAGGCGTAACATTCGTTTGAATTTGGATTGTGCATTCTTCTTGATTGCATTATCTAAACCTTCCCCGTGACAAATATAACGAACACGTTTCATTGTATGACGCTGCAGAGAATGTCGGATGTATAAGGGCATATAAGGTGGGAGTTGACAAAATCCCAAGGTATAGCATTCTCTGCAAGCGAAACTAAACCACTTTACGCGCTTTTTAATTATGTTTACGTTTTTAGGTTGTCTCAAACAAACATTAACAGTGGATAAAATCTTAAATTTTATTATTGAATCACAAAATGATGTATCAGCATGCGTATCCAAGGTAACCACCACGAAAAGACGCCTTAACTAAACCGTGCACAATTATCAGCAAGGACAATAGCTATATAGATGCAAGTGTCCTTCTCGATCCTTCAGCGGTTCGTATGGATTCCCTTTGGCGCAATCCGTACCACATTTTAAAACCAGGAAGAACGAGTCACTTCAACCGAATCTCAGCTCTTCGGCCGTCACGGTTACGAGCAGTTCTCCAAGGAGACGCATTTCTTCTCGGTGTTGCGATACATCCCGTCCTTGCAGAAGCAGCCAAAGACGCAATCCCTGGAGCACTCGTCGGTTGGTTCTGGACTCGCGCAAGTCAGCTCGGCGCAACTGCTGCTCTCGCACTCCTTGAAGACTTCGCCTTGTCCGCACGGAAGAATGGCATTTTCTCCGTCGTTGTCCGAGCCCCCGGAGCCTGGAGGAGTCAAGGATCCTCACAATGACGAAGGTTGGCGACAACTCGCATTTTTGAAGCGATTGTAGGGAGCGCGCTCTCATTGAACCAATCAGCCACCGGCTACACGGCGCAAACCGCCGCGCTATAAGCACCCTGCGTCCGCTAGGAGCCACTACCGATCGCCCAGCGAACAGCGCCGCGCGCGGACACTTTTGCGTAGGAGGAGTGGTAGAACTCCGCCATCGCTCCCGCTGCTCCCGCGCTTCCGCCAATGTGGTCGCCCAAGCAGGCATGTGGACCTTGCAACACCCGCCGATGTACCGCTGCAATCGAGCGGCGACTGCCGAGGTCGCTTTCGAAGAGTACGCGCGACGCCGCCGCGAGAGGCGCGCTTATAGGCACTGAGTTAGATCTGCAGGGTGCCCAGTAAAAATCATCAGCTGTACGCATACCTCTGTCGATCCAACCAATGCAGACTGAACTCGATTTCTGTGCGCTGCCAGAACCGTGTATAAAGAGAGTTTTGTCAATGGGAGGTGTGGGCAGAGCCAGGGCGTGCACCACGCGTAGGAAGAGGACTTGACATGCTCTCTTGGCCGACCAGAAGCCTAAAATAATCCTTTAGCGGTGGTAGGGAGAAATAATTTTAAGTATATGTATATGGTTTTTATAAGCGCGTAAGAGTCAAATGTAGTTGCTCTTCCCGCTTGAAAAAAGGGTGCACGTGATGTCTCGATTATTATTATGCAGAAAGATGTCAGAAACGAATGTGCCGCTCGAAGTCTGTTTTGCTCGGACAGTTCGTGACCGCTCGGACGGCTGAGTCCCGGCCCTCAGCGCCTGTCGTACGGATTATGTCGATCGTTCCGCTAGTTGCGCTCTTCCACCATGATCTTGAATGACCGTGATTGAAACATCACGTGCACCATATTTTCAGTCACCGAGAGCTATTCCGACGTACTTATGAATCCAGTTTCTCGCGACCACCGCCAGGGTATTATTTCCGGCTCCTGGTTGACCCCATTGGAATTTGTGGAGACGCCCTGGAACACGCACAGCCTGCTTTCGGCCAATGGCGGCTCCTCTCTGTCTCCTATACTTCTCAATGAATGGCCAAACTCTCTACATATACGGCTATGCGCGCTGCCGTCTTTGTCTAGAAGGCTGTGGAACACGCTTTGAGCATGCGCAATAGCCCTCTCCTGCGGATTATTATCAGACGCCGCACCGACGGTCCAGTGACTCGGCATTTTTTGCATTAGTGATTAGGGCTGGAAATATTTATAGGGCCCACTCCTACGCCCTAAAATATTCCAAAATTTTTCCCATCTGAAAAAAAAAGTACCCCCTCCCCGTTAAAAAAAAGAAAAAAAAAAGCTTTTGCGGGCACCTTTTTAATACACATAAAAGCAGGCCATCTAATTTCATGCTGAGTACGTGGCGAACCAGGTAATGTAAATTGGAATCGATTATTTACTGGAATAATTTTCTAATCATTTAAGTGCATTTAATAGGAAGGAATTACAAGAGTAATCTCACTACTTTTGGAAGTATTGAAGTTACTTGTAACTGGTACTATTTATTCCTCCACTTTTTAATCGCACCCTTTGTCTGAACAAGTTCCCTACTACTGAATCCTGAAACCAAGTCTCCGGCAGGATGATGGTGTACAAAAATTGGTGGATTCAGATGAGTAGTGGATGGTTCGGTGATTCTAATCTAACTATCGACAATACCAAAACCGTTTTCAAACCTCTAAATAAAAAAAAAATAAAAAAAAAGATGTTCTCTTGAAAATTTGAAGTATTTGGAAAAGTGACGCATACTTTTTCAAGTAACGGTCGATGACTTTTCTTCTCAGGTAATCGAGTAATCTGATTCGATACTTTTAACCAAAAGTAATTTTAATTGTAATCGAGTACTCTTTTTTTCGAGTATCGTATACAAGTCTGCGTGTCTGCAAACCTGGTCGCTGAAAGCGAACGCCTGAAACGCTTTCCCTGTGAAGATTGCGTTTTTGAGAGAAACCGTCTTCTGAGCTTCGTCAGTCGCTGAACAGGATTTTTGTGCGATTCATCGATTTCCTTTTGGCATTGGTACAGAGAATTAGCCTCGCCGCCATTTTTTTTCCAGTAGGTTGTGTCTTGCAAAACAGGGCTATTATAAAGAAGGATCAGATTTCGGATTTTAACTTCAAAGAAACTTAAAATGAGAGAAGCACATTCCTTACATCACTGGAGAGAGGAAGTTCCAACGTGTCTTAAAGCCCGCCCACTCAAGCCTGCTAGTCTGCAAGATATGAAATATCTAGTTGTCGAAGCTGTGAATTCAATAACCAAGGTCCAGTTGATTCGTGTTTGCCAAGAAATGGAGTGCCGTCCCAACACTCGAGGCTCATGTTGGGTGCAGAGATCTCAAAGGACCTAATGATTTCGAACTTCAAACCTTCCTCTTGCAAGTGATGTGCAGCATATGTTTCTGCACTTTTTATTTTGAATGAAATGGAAATGCAATATCTGCTCCTTCTTCTTAAGCGGCTCCGCATAAGAACTACGAGAAACACTCGACCCCGATTCCACAAAGATAAACGGCGCCAGTGTGCCACCCAGTACGAACACACCGTTCTAGTTCTTCTGACGTCGCGAAAAAGAAGGGCGTCCGTCGAGAATGCCCTATCTTCGTAATTAATGCCACCCCCCTCCCCCAAAAAAAAAGAAAAAAAGAAAAAAAAAAAAGAACATTTTGTTTAAATATTGATGCAAAAGAGGCGCATTGAGCATTGAGAGGAGCGGCGTTCTTTTCTGCGACAGTTCTGGCATTGCAACAGAGTGTAGAGTAACCGACAACTTAGCAAACGCAGGGTGCGGAATATTACGATCACGTCTCTTGCTTGCTGATTGGTTGTGCGGCATTCTGATCAGCTGATGCCGCAACCTGATTGGCTATGCACGGAGCGGTAATACCATGCTCGGAATTCACCACACCCTGAGTTTCTCAAGACGTAAGTGACTATAGCAGAAAGCACTGTACCTCCACTGGCCGCAGCGTATCCAGTAGCCAGCATCATCAGATATGCGAGCAGGAGACCTCTTGAAATCTGCGCATCCATGGTTAGTCCCGCGGATTGCCTCGCCCTTGTACGGAGAAAGTGTTTTAGGCTGTGGCAATTCGAAGCTCCCCTTTGCGCTGGCGGGGCAACTGGGCTCGTTTAGCGATAGCTGCGCGCTCCTTGCGTGCGTATCGCTCGTTCTGAACGGATACACAAGCCTCATTTATAAATCAAGGTCGGACCGAGCGCTGCGAATTGCGTAAGATAAGCCAAAGCGGAAAGGAAGGATGTAGAGGCGCGAATCGAGACGCGAGAGAAGAGGACGTGTGACGTAGAGAGGGGCATACATTTAAGATCTCTCTATCCGACCCTTTTGCTGTGTCCTGACGCGCGGTATTTCAATCGGTTCGTTCCTCTGCGTTTCTTAGGAAGGGTGACGATCAGTGCAAGCCGACAGGGAGTCCTTTTTTGTGAGGTTAAAAAAGGCCGGCACAGTGGCCGTTGCTTATGCGTATTCCATGGGCGTTTTGTCTATTCATGTGCCTATTTACACATTGAATGGTTCCTTCGTTTATATCTTGATTGATCGCTTGATAGATCGGTTCGTTCGTCTTTTGGCTTAGAAACGGGAATCGGTTTCGGCGATACCGCTCGTTATTCAAGCGATTTTTGTAGGGTTCCAGTGCCTTCGTATACCTAAACGAGGGACTTATCTCAGTAACGTACGAACATTAGAATACGTTTCATATGACTGATGTGTGTTTATTTTTAGAGGACATCGATTTTTGAATGAGCACAAGGGAGTGGCAAATGGGGGCATCCCTACCAAGAGGTTTCGACAAGACGAGACAATTGTGGTGTCAGAAATATTGGCAGTGTGAAGAGTTTCACTGTTTGCGGCTGTCTGATTCCTCGACTTGTCGCCGTGTGCCGCACACGGGTGAGCTGTGAATCCGGTTGTGATTCTGATTCTGCAGGCTCCAGTTGGCAGGCGCTTGTTCACCGATTCATCAAATAGCTTCAGGCTAAACGTCACTTAAAATGCCGCGGGGCAGGGATCTAAGATAAAAAAGCTGGAGTCCGACCTGACTCGGAGCGGGAACATAAAGGTTTATATATAGTATTTAGACTGGATAGACGTTTGTGGTCATTGGAGCAGCTCTTTCTTCTTCCTCGTCTTCTGGTTGTAGCCGAAGCACACGTGCTCTAGTTGTCCGCCGTTTTCTGCTTTTTTGTATTCAACAAGGGATATTAGCTTGCTCCGATATGCAAAAGAATGTCTGCCAAGGCGCTGCGACGCGTGCTGTAGGTTCACTAACCGAAGCTGCTCTTTAAGAAAAAGGTGTAGCCATTACACCCCTTGTCACATACAATACACCCCAAAACTTCAGTTTGACGTACAGCGTGCTGACGTCAGTCTGAATCCCTTATGGTTGACGATATTCTGTTTCTTCTACACAGCAACTTCGACAAGTGAAACGTTACGTGTGTAAGCCTTTTTTTCTTTTCTCGACTGTTGGCACGGAGCTATATATTTAAGTAGATGGCTCCGAGCGTGCAGTTGGGGGTTCGTGTTTAAAACTGACCATATATATACACGAGTATACTTCGCTGCGGGAAGTGAGCGCGTTTCCTCCCACACTCTTTCATTGTTTGGCCTAAATAAAATGTCAAAATGTTACTAGTCTGTCCTTTGTTAATTTTTATGTTTATAAAATATGCCTCTGCGTGAAGTGGGTTTTACATAGGAGAAAGGAAAATAAAAATTAAAATTTCCTTCTTTTTGAGCGCATCTTCTGGACAGAGCTTCAGTGTCATAGACTCCCAAGAACAACTCATAACTGCGATCATCTTTTCAGCGATGCGAAGTGTCACTGGAAGAATGATCGCTTATTTTATAAATGCGATAAAACAGAACGTGATAAAATTACTTTCCCCGTATTATGACACGAAGAGTTCTTTGTACAAAGTTAAGCAGACAGCTTATAGGAGACCGCCATAAAGATGCCGTCTTCGTCTTACATGTTTACTCTTGACCTGCACCAACACGCCCTTCGTCCATTATAATATGACACCATCCGACGCTTTTTTAAATTTTTATTCAAGCTTGGTTTTATGATGTAAAATGAATGCGTGGATTGAGGGTGGGACACAGTTCCGAATTTTGAGGATGAGGTTCGGATGCGGATACAGAGTCTGCGGATGAGGATCGAATATGGATACAATTTTTGAAGAACATTACGGATGCGGTTTTGATTCGGATAACCTAATAATTGATCGGAAAGTAATTAGAGCTAGAAACTCTTTTGGTTAGCCATACTTTAACCCGTTACGCGCTAAATTTTTTTCTTCATGAAAAAAAAAAGAAAAGAACTACTGGAATTTTTTAACATTGACAAAGAAACCGTTTCCGCAAAAAATGTTTGAAAGGTATCTTTTACAAGATTCACGGTGTCACATGCACTTGGAAAACGCAAGACCTGACATTTTTCAGATGTTCAACGCCTTGCTTCCCGTTGCCAAACACCTCGACTCGAACATTTTTTTTTCTCCAAGTTTTGTTGTCAGTACACTATAACCCGCTGCGCGAATGGCGCGGCAGAAGGACACGTGTGGCAGCTGCTCCGCGGGATTTCACCACAAGCAGCAACAGATTGTTTGCTGTGCGTGTTTAACTCGTTTTCACTGCAAGTGCGTGAATATCGTCAATGATGACTACGACCTACTCGTGCAAGATGGGGTGAGCCAGTACAAGTGTGCGAAATGCGTCAAGCGAAAAAACGACGACGACGACCAAGTTCCCACGCCTAGAATTTCAACCACGGAATATACAATGGACGCGGAAACCGACACCGCTGACATTCTCTGTGCTGCAGCAGGTTCATCGACATCAAAGAAAGACATGCAAGCGGTACTGGAAGAGCTCGTTGACCAGTTCGCACGACTAAAAGCGGAAAACGCCTCGCTACGTCAAGAGGTTCGTCGTCTCAACGACACCGTCTCTTTGTTCGTGAGTCAACGCTCCAGGAATATTTCAGACACAACTGACCGCTCTCGTCCGTCGTCCTACGCATCTGCCACTGTAGAGTTTCCCGCCTTGAGTTCCCGACAGCAGAGCCCACCGAGACCTCGAAAAGCGCTGCCAGCTGACACTTCAGCGAATGCCATCGGACCAACTGGGCTCCTTCCACCTGCAGCGTCTACAGCCCAACGAGACTCCGTTCCACGAAGCACCGTGGATGGTGACGGCTTCACCCTTGTCACCCGCCGTAAGCCCGTAAAGCCCTCTGTCGGAACTTCGAAAGCGTCAAAGATAGCCGTGATTCAACGTGCCCCACAAGAAAGAGCCCTGTTTGTGTCAAGACTGTCCCCGGAAACAAGTACGAAGGACGTTGAGGATTTGGTCGCTGCTGTTTTGCAAGGTAAAACTTTCGTATGCACGAAATTGAAAACCAAACTTCCTTACTACGCGTCTTTCCACATTCTCGTTGACAAAGAAGTATTTGAAGCGATAAACAGCGTGTCTGTCTGGCCAGAAGGCTGCATCTTCAGGCAATTTTTTGGACCACTTCCTGTGTCGCGCCACTTCGATAGTGCAGAAAGCAACGTTGAGGCTGGTGCGACTGCAGCGTAATTCACGGTTTTCTTTGCACTTGTTTGTCCGTTGTTTTTTCTTTTTTTTTCCTTTTAGCCTCTAGCTTCATGGCCGAATACCATGAACTTCTATTGCCTGTTAAACTAAAGCGATATGCAGGAACCAAAGACTCGACCACGATCTTACATTTAAATATACGCTCTTTGAAATGTAAAAGTGACAATTTTATTACTCTTTTAGATCAACTCTGTGTTTCGTTTGAAGCGGTGATGCTTTCCGAAACATGGTACGCAACAGATGACGATGTTTTTATCGTGCCGGGTTACAATCACTTCTTTTTGAATCGAAGCGGAAAACGAGGGGGAGGTGTTTGTATCTATGTTAGACAGGATATTAGATGCGAAATACTCGATGCCTTTACCGAAATTACAGACGACTATGAAATCGTAACTGTGAAGCACGGACGTCAGCTGCTTTCTGTTATGTATCGACCGCCAGCTGGTAGCTTTAATAACTTTTTGTCTTTTCTTGAGAGGTATCTTGATTTCATATCCTTGAATAACTACTCACTTGTTCTGGGCGGTGACTTAAATGTAAATAGTTCGGAAAACTCTTCTCTTTCTTCACGACTGAGTAGTACACTCAGTAGTAGTGGTTTTTGCAATGTGATTGTGTCCCCCACCAGAATTACTCATTCTACGGCAAGTTGTATCGACGTTTTTATTACCAATATAAATACTATAGTTCGCAGTGCAGGTACTATTAGTAGTGATATAAGCGATCATTTACCAATATTTTTTTGTTTTCAAACCCGTGATTTATCACGGAGCGTCGGTAGACTCGTAACTTTCCAAGCGATAACCGACTGCCAACTGCGGTCCTTTCGAAGCACAGTCATGCAAACAGACTGGACTTCTGTCTTTTCAAAGCAATGCGTGAACGAAGCATATGATGATTTCATAAATATTTTTAAGACGCTATACATCGCATCGTTTCCATATAAGACGGTTACTGCTAAAAAACGAATAAGAAAACCATGGGTCACGCCACCTATTCTAACAATGATAAGAAAAAAGAATCGCTTATATCAGGAGTACCTCTGTTCAAAGGATGACGGTGACCATGCAGTTTTTAAGAGGTATCGCAATCAACTGACATCTGCACTTAAAAAATCAAAAACAGAATATCACAAACGTCTTTTTCATGACGCCCACAAGAAGCGTCCTGCGATTGTTTGGCAGTCGATAAATGAAGTGCTTAAACGCAGCAAGCAGAAGAATTCAATAGATGAACTTTCACTTTCTGGTGAGAGCGTATCAGGAGTACAACTATCTGAGCTCGTTAACAGACATTTTACTAACTTGCCTTCTAGCGCGCACAATGAGCATGCTTCCTCGTTTATCTCGCACCGTGTAACAGACACAATTTTCCTACAACCTACAGACGAATTGGAAGTGATCCGTGTATTTATGGGATTGAATAACAGTAAAAGCCATGACATAGACGATATACAAATAAAGCCCGTTAAATTCGTAATCGATGTGGTGGCCCCACTCTTGGTATATATATTTAACTTAGCATTGTCGAGTGGTCAATTTCCGAATAACATGAAACTCGCA